TTGGTGAAATATAACAATTAAGAAGTAATTTTATTAGACTTTCATTTCTAAACTATATCTCTATTTGTTGGTATAAATACGTACAATATGATCTGGAAGGATATGGATGTAATTTTTAGATTGAAGCTAGGCATTTTAAGTAAACAGATTTTATGCTAGTGGATATTAAATTGAAATATTTGATTTCGGGGATTTTTAAAAGAATGTGGAAATCCAGGGAAAACCTGTGTTTGACAAAGTACAAGGAAGAAATTAGTAAAAGGAAGTCTCACCTAATGAATAGAAGTGATTGATTGTGAAAGGAATCAAGTGATACATTCAAAAGTGAGTTTATAGATGTATCATCAAACAATAAATTTTACCAAAAAAATGCTTCGGTCATAAGATTATAAGGAAAAGGCTGTAAAATTCTGGCATAGTTAAACGGGGGGGGGGGGGGGGGGGGGGGGGGGGGGGGGGGGGAATGGGAAGTTTCAGTCTGTCTAAAATTTCAGAAGGTAAAAATTAGCAGTTTTTTTTATTGTTTGCAGATAGAACTTCAAAAATCTGGCTATCAGGAAAATATTTTAATAGAAATGGAGAACATTTTAAGGGAAACTGACATGTATTCACATTACACATGTGAAAATATACTCCCATACTGATGTACCTGGGATTTAAAACAGTTTTGTTCCATGGTTTATCTGCTCTGCCACTGATGGGCTTGCACTTGAAATTTGATTCAGCTTGTTGATTACAGTCAGTGTAAAACAGATTACTGCCTTGATATTATTTTTACTATTATTGTGTATTCACAGCCAGCTTACCTATTTTCTGCTTTTTAAATCTTCATTTATAATTTTATATTTTTGTTCCGTTAATTTATAAGCTAGTCTGTTGCCAGTAGCACTGTATCATCAGATCTCTCTCCTTTTTTTTTTTTTTTTTTTTTTTTTTTTTTTTTTTTTTTTTTTACCATTTTTGACTGCCTGTCTATAGGATATTTGCAGCTCGATTTTTCTCTATTATATATTTCTGGATGAACAAAATCATAATGTATTTTTGCAGAAAAATTGTGAGCTCAGAGTTCGAGGGTGTTCTTTGATTGAGAAGTATCCATTCCCAAGGCAAACAGCCCTAAAGTGTTTTGCCATAATCCAAATAATATAACAGTTTGGTAGATTTAAAAATGAAGTAAATAGTTTTACTTTGTGTATCGAATATTAGCAGCTAAATTTGATACTGTTATGTATATTTAGATGATCGGATTCATATCTATTTTTTTCAGAAAAATTCTAAGTTCAGAGTTGAAGGGTTTTCCTTGATAGAGAAGTATCCATTCCTAAGGCCCTAATGTGCTTTGCCTTAGTCTAAATAATGTAACAGTTTTGTAGATTTAAAAATGAAGTAAATGGTTTTCCTTAAATTATAATATTGAGTGATTTTAACAAATGGTTATAAACACCTGTTTTCTTTTAATTCATTGTTGAGGTTTACAAAATAGTGAGGCAAAGATAATTTAAATATGTATTAATAATCACAAATATGTACAATTGTATAGTAAAATTTAAAAATTGTTCTCAGTATTCATAGCACCATAACATTTTATGATTAAAAAAAAGGCATGTAGTATCAATATTTATAGCATTTCATTTTACTGAATAATTGGAGATGGGCTACTAAGTGAATAAAATGTGCTGTTATTTGACCCCTGGAGCCATTTTCCTGTTCTAGATTCTGAGATGTATTACAGCCCATTTCTGTGTTTACCTCCATGATTGTGACATGGGAAACCATAATCTGGTTCTTTTCTAAATCTTTGTTCAACACTAGAACCGCAGGACTTTCGATATACCCAGAACCATGGTTCGGCTCAATTTGACCCTAGATTGAAAACACCTGAAAATATGCACAAGCAATTACTTTAGTTAACTAAAACATTTTATTTTTATGTAGCAATCAATATTTTTCAGAATTTACGTTGAATATTTTATATAAATCAATGAAAATAACCTAATTTTTTAAAAATATTATTATTGAAAATTTTATTTCTATAAGTATAATAACGTGTATTTTAAACAAAATAAAACATAATTTTTCTAATTTTGATGGAAAAACAGAGTATATATCATTTAAATAAAATTAGACATAATTGTAGAGGGAAAAAAAAAAAAAAAAAAATTACCAGTTACTTGCTAGTTTTACAGATTTTTTTTAAACCAATTTATTGTATGCATTGTGCACAAAATTTAGTATTAAGTTTTCTACATTTACCACAAATGGGGGCTTTGCATTTTGACAAATATCTTGGGTTTTATTTTCACATTTTAAACTGTGGCATCGAACTCTTTTACGCTTAACTTCTTGTTGTCCACCGTTTTCAGTGGTTGCTATACACCCATATGTCACCTTTTTTTGCCATGAGAGAACAAACTTTTCTCTCAGTTCTTCAACTAAGTCTTGAATGAATTGGCGTCTACTTACAGATTTTCTAGATATGGCTTTGTATAAAATCCAGGCGTCGTTGATAGCAACAAGATCCAAAACCTGCACCGTCCATCTATGTGAAACAGACTTTACATTATATTTCCTTTGTCATTTGGTCAATCCGTCCACACCGAATTTAGTTGTGTTGTAGTAAACAATTGTATCAGGCATTTTTTGGGACTATCTACAATTTCTACAGTTGGATGAAGACTACTTAGCAACAAAACGTTTTGATCTTTTTTCCCTTGATAAACAGTTAGACTGATGTCTTTTTACGTGTTAGTACCGCAGTCGCATGCAATGTGGATTTTGACATTTTTGCAGAGACTGGTATTTCTTTTCCTGAGCATTTTACAGTTCCTACAAGGCTGGTGATTTTGAATTTCAATGCTTCTGCAAGCCTCAGTGTTGTGAAAAAGTTATCTGTAGTGACATTTCTGCCTTTGTTTTCATATGGACTTAATAGTCGCAGTACTACATGTTCAGAAAGAGAAACATTTGATTTATCTTTTCCAAGATACGGGAATCCATTTATTAGATATTTTGAGTCAACATCTGCAGTTAACCAGAACTTGATTCCAAATTTATCTGGTTTGTTTGGTATGTATTGAGAAAACCTACACCTAATTTTTGTAGGAAATAACTGTTTATCTGCAGTTATATTCGGACCAGGTGTATAGTTAGTTTGGCAATTTTCAATGAAATGATTCCAAATATCGGAGATAAGGGCAAATTTGACTGTCTCTAGACGCTTTGTTGTCATTGACTTTATAACGAAACGTGAGAATCTCGGTATTTTACGAAATTTGTCTCTTGTCACTTTGTCAAGTGCACACGTCTTTTCTTAGAACTTTTGATTTTTCTTTTTATCTGATAATTTATCAATATTATTGCAATGAGTAGGTCCAGTGGTTGTCAGGGCACTGCCAGAGTCATCATCACTTTCATTTTCTTCATCTGAATTCAAATTTTCATTAGCTAGCAGGTATTCATCGTCACTACTCAAAATCGAAACACTGTCATCATCATTATCATCATCTTCTGAATCATTTTCAGATAATTGTTGTAAGTATTCCAAAGCTTCTTGAACAGTGTTGAACAGTCCAGGACGACGTCGTGACATCTTATCTATCCTTATGATAAATATAGAATAAAAGCAACTTAAAAAAAATCCTTTGAAATATTTGTTTAATTTTTCTTTGCGTTTCAAACCAAACATTTTGACCTTGACTGAAAGCCTGTACTATTCTCCTCCTGGTGCAGTGCATTTGAAGAATTTGGGGATGAAACAGATATACTTTACAGCTTCTTCCGAGAAAATGCATCTGTTTTTCGTCATTTAGGCATAAACATTTCTTGCGGGTCAAATTGACCCTCTTCGCGGTATAAGTCTTAATAATCGGAAATTTATTTGTTACCCATTTCCAAATTCAGTAAGTTGTTGTTTACCTTAAATTATTAAAAGTCATAAAAGAATTTTTTTTCAATTATTACTTTTCGCGTGGTGATAAATTAAACATTGGTTTTGGTCAAATTGAGCCGCTCTGCGGTTCTATTGTTAAATACCTAGCTTTCTTCATTGTCAGAAAAGTATCAACTTCTGTATCACATTCCCAGTCCAGCGAAAAAGCAGTTTCTCAATCTCTGAAATTGGACACATCCTCTTGTTGGTTTCTGACCTTCAATGTTACCACACTTTTCATGCTTTCAACTATTCAAACTTTATAGGAGTCACTATAGAAATAGTTAGATTTATAGCCCAAACTACTGTTTGTATAAATTTTTTGTCTTCATACATATGTATTATTTTCAACATTTCCTCTTAAAATAATTTTAGACATTTGCTTTTAGGTTTATTACTAGGGCATTTGGATTTACATTTTGAATTTGTTTTAAGTGTAAATAAACAATTACTAAAGGTGTTAAACGGGTAACTAAGTACATGACTGTCATTTTGATGAGAGTATGGGTCTTAAAAAGAAGGAATAGGTTTTAAAAAGAAGGATGTAGAAAGTTCTGACTTCTTATTACTTTCAATTTGAAATGTTATGGCTTTTGGACTAGCAAATATAGCTGCAAATTCACATAGTTGGGGGATTTCTGTATTCAGCATGTAAACTTTTTGGGGGGGACTGAATGTTTTTACTTATTCATTTTTGTATAGCACGCAAGTGTTATTTTTATCATTTGTTTTAATAAAAGTAATCTTCAGTTTTAATTGTAGACATGTGTAATCGATCCTAGCAATACTTAAGATTTGCTGAACTAAATTAAAATGTAGTAATTCCTTCTGGCTTTATTGTATTTAATTGATTATGAGCTGCCAAATGAACTTGTCAGCATTTGAATTTTGCATTGCTTTTGGGCATTAAATTTAACAATGATCCTGAAACTTCTTATTGGCATTTCATGCATGTTTAAAGAAATGGTATAAAAGGAAAAAAACTTATTATTAAAATCATACCTGTCTGCTTAAAATTAAAACATTATTATTATTTTAATTTTTTTTTTTTTTTTTTTTTTTTTTTTTGTAGGATGGCTGCAAGTTCTGGTGATGGAACCAACCACTATGAATACTCAATGGAAGATGAATTTTTAAATTTTGCATAAAATACACAACTTGTTCAGTGTATGAATAATTTTATTTGTGAATATGGATGCTGCACGTATCAGGTCATATAAACACAGTGATAGCAATATGTCAAATTTATCAATTAATTCAGAACTAATTCTTCGAACAGATATAAAAAATGCAACAAAAACAATTTTGGAAGATATTTGTAATGATTTTGAAAACTTGGATGTCATCACTTCAAAAAATAAATTTCTTTCATTTGATAAAGCAAGGGCAGCTGAAAATTTTCCAGAATGTAATGCAAATAAGGTTATAGATGTGAGTTTTGGTAGAGAAGAACAGTATTTGGCTGAGAAGGCTGTTTTGTATAATAATACTCTTCCACACCAGAATGATTTGCGAAAAAAAGATTTTGTGGATGATAGTTGTATAAAGTCTAATGGAACAGTGAATGCATTAGTGCCTGTGAAGGCGTCTATGCAGCAGCAAAACTCTGCTCTTTTTAATGTTGATTCTTCTTTAAATTCTGATAACAGCATGCAGGTTTTAAATGATTGCCGAGAACCGGACAAAATTACTCTGGTTTCTGATTCATATACAAATAACAAAGACCTTTCATCATCTCTTGCAGAATTAGCAGATGCTGAAATAGTTCAAACTGGTGATAATTCAGTCTCAATAATTATAACAAATCCTCGTTTAATAAAAGTTATGACTCCAAATTTAATAAATCCTGAAACTTCTGTTGCTACGGATGCAGCAAAACGTATTACAAATAGGAATGAAAACATTACAGAAGTTACTGTTGAATCACCTGTTACTCATGATGTTGGCTCTCAGGAAATCAGCATTTTAAAGCCAACTGGTATACCACCATTAAAGTTAAAAGTAAGTGTGATGCAAGAACCAGAAAGACTTCTCTCTGCTGCGTCTTCAAAAGCAAAAAAAAAATTTTCACATTGTCTCAGGAAAAGAACCTTTGTAACACGCAAAGGTAAATACAGAACTTTCAACAAGATTAATAAAGTGGAAAGCGTAAGGTAAGTTTATTTGTTATAAAATTTAAAAAAAAAAATGAGTTAAATTATTTAAAGTGCATAAATTGTTATATTTATTTCCCGATTAGCTCATAGCTCAAAATATCCAAGGTTGCGCCTTCTTCTGTGCGGGAAAGTAAATATTTGTCATTTCATTTGAGTCATTAGAAATATTGAATTATGATCGTAATCTAGTCATTATAAGTATTGAATTATGATCGCCATACCCATAGAATTTTGAACAGAAGATTCAGTTCTGAGGCATTTTTAAATTGATTTTGATAATATTTGGGATAAATCACAGGGTTTCATTGATTTTAATCAGCAGATTTCATTTTAAAATTAGTTAAAATCAGGTATTTTTAAGGGTGGAAAAAAGAAATGTGTTAAAATCAAAGATGATCTGTAATGCTTTCAAAAAAGTTTGAATTATTGTAAAATCTTTTTTAAGAAATAAAATTTTTAAGCCATTTTAGCATAGTGCAAGATAGTGTATCAACTCCATGGTCTAGTCTCAAGCGTAAATGGGATGATTAATATGCTAATTCAAACCACACACTCCTCAGACATTTAAAATAGATCGTCAAGTATAAATTTTTTTCCGCTGCAAGTGGATCATTTTGTGATGTAGAAAACTCATTTCATAAAATTAATAATTTTGTTTGCTGGGCATCTATTTTCTTTTATTGAGAAAAATAATACAGTACAAAGTCTGAGATCCAGACTCGTCGGGACTTCAGCAGTTGCGAATTTGGGATTTTTCCGGATATTAGATCATCAGTTCATATCCAGAAAAATGTCATGTAGAAATTAAAATGATGAAATCGTATGAAATAATGAAGCATTTATGATCCAAAGGGTGTCAACATTTACGGAAAAAAAAAGGTTTAATATTTGTTTACATTAAGGACAATTGTGAACCTGGCCTTGGAGGTAATAGACATTATCCCCAAAAATGCTACCAAGATGTTTACAGATGGCAGCAAAATTGCTAACTATGTAGGTAGCGGTATTTATATTGAGATCCCATTTTCTCCTGAAAAGTTTGCCAAGGTATTTTGCAGTATATATTGCCAGAAAAGACAAGTTTCATCAGCATTGTAAATTGCTCTGGAGATAACTTTTCACTATTAATAAGTTCAATGAATTCATCTGCAGACAGTTCAGTAGCTGAAGCTTTTTCACCTGAAATTTTTAATTGCCTTATACCATGGCGATTTTTAAATTTGGTTAACCAATGTGTCGAATATGTGCGCTCAGTCTTTAAGTTAACTTCTTCGTAAAATATTTTGACTTGAGCCATTAGCACTGTATCTATCAATGGAACACCATCGCCGAGATGTTTTCTGACACATTCAATTATCAATTTGTCATGATCATCCATCCCTTCTAGCATAACAAATAATTTGTTTTATTCATTGCGAGTGGGGTGTCGGAATCGCAAAAAGTTCCTTATCATCCTGTTTCCTTATGTTATATACAGTTTAATTTCCAATGTCATACTCGCTGTATGATTTTGAGATGGATATACCCTTTTTCCATTTTTTGTAGCAATTCCACTTTTTGTTTAATGGAAATCGTAGCATGCTTTCTGTTTGTAAATCCTTTTGAAGCTCCAGAATTAGAAACTCTTTTCGACATAATCAAAAGTTCAAACTTTATTTTTCATAAAATTGCTGTAATAATAACGGCCAGTAAACAGTAATAAGCTGGATCAAACAGAAAGTTAAGGAAGAGGGCAGTTTGCTGTATTAACTTAAATTCCTTGGAATCAGTAAAGAATAATTTTAGCCTAGCTTAATAATGTCTGCTATACATTATTGGCTATGCGTCATGAGATCGACCAAAAAAGATAAGTTCTTCCACTAAATTTTGTACTGCTTTTATCGTTCACTAAAGCAGTTAGGCCTGAATTGTATTAATTTAGTTATTTATTATACTTATGTCTATTTTTTCTGCATGCTTAAAGCTTATCCGAGTCCTGAATAAATTGCACATATACATTTCTGCTTATCGAGGGTTGGTGCTAGATATCTTACTGCCTGATGATGATCTCTGAGGGTCCTAAATTCTGCTACCAAGTGCCTCCTTAGGTTCTAAATTTTTGCTGCTCCTAAATTTTGGGTCTCGGTGTTTTCACTAAATTCTAAAAATTTTTCTGCTTGGTGCATCTCTAAATTCTAAAAATTTTGTCTTCCTTAAATTCTGCCGCCCTGTGTGGCCATACAAGCTGTGGCGCCAGTTCTAGGTTTACGTAAATAAAAAATCAGTTATTCATAATTCAAATAGCACTAAATGTAAACTTTTCGTCTGTGAGTATCGTTAACAAAATATATTTTTAGCACAGGGAAAGAAACTTTTATTAAATTTTTCTTTGTCAACATTTCTTAAGCATACATTTTTTAAATGCATAAATTTACAGCATAAATTTCTTTCTTTCCTTGTCAACATATCTTAAATCTGTAATCATAGCCAAACATAATGTTGACATAAAAAGTTACCATGATTTTACCTATTCCAGAGTTGCCAACTGTCCCGATTTTCGACCGCTCTCCTGCCAACTCGATTTATAATATATTTCTCCCGACTTTTTCTTATTCTTAAAATTTCTCACGATTTTTATGCAACTTGGCTTAATACTTCGATATATGAACAAAAAAAAAAAAAAGTGATTTTGGACGTCTGAAAGCAATTGAATTTTCTCCAGATTATATCTAAAACAAAACCTTGCGAATCAGATAAGAATTTCTGCTTTGTGAGTGAGAGCACACGTATACAGAAACATCGTTCTCCAGTTCTCCAATGGGCATCAAGCTCCACTGCGTGTCATCTGGCATATATTTAGCCAATGATCATAAAGCAAGCTCGAGGCTGTTATTTGGATGTTCTTTAGTTATTTCGTTCATCTTGTCCTGAGTTGTGCGAGTACACATGCCTTTGGGAAATAGTTTTAGAATTTATCATCTTTTGTTATGTCTGCGAGAAAGGCGAAATACTCGTGTGCGTTTCAAAAATCGTACACAGTTTACTTTCCTTCCATTATTTCCTCAAGGAAATGTAATAAATTTGCGATGTGTACCGTCTGTTGTTGCGCCTTTTTCGATTTCGCAGGGTGGAAGGGCGGATGTTCTCAAACATGTGCGTACCCAAAAAGACAAGGACAACATGAATTGTTAAAAAAAGAAAAAAAAAATTGAATTTTTCTTTTGAAACAAAGGACCAAAAAGTTATTAATGCAGAATGTTTGTTCTCTGCCTTTTTACTGGAGCACAACCTGCCGCTGAATGTATCGGATCACGCTGCAGCTTTATTTAGAAAAATGTTTCCCGATAGTGAAATCGCTAAGAAATACTCAAGTGCAATTGTTTAAAGAAATAGGTTTGAAAAATAAATCTTCAGTTATTGATTGTATTAAAACAGCTCCGTTCTGCCTCTCTACAGATGGAAGCAATAATACCTATTCAAAACTGTATCCAACTGTTGTTTCTTTTTTTAATCCAGAGTTACCATGATTTGAAATTGAGTGCAGTTTACTTTCTGTTCCCACTTTAGAAGGACATTCGATAGGCTTTAATATAGCACAGCTAATTATTAAAACTTTAAAAGAAAATGCAGTCCTTCTGGATAATTGCTTAGCACTTGGTGCCGATAATGCACCAGAAATGGTAGGCTTGAAGACTGGTGTTGCAGGCATCTTATGAAAGGAAAATTCAGATTTGCAAATTACGAGGTGCACCTGTCACCTCTTAAATTTAGCAGCTGAAAAAGGGGCAGCTTCTTTACCAATAAATGTGGATGAACACTTTGTTGATAGTATTTATTGTTATCTTGAAAATTCTAAAAGGAAGGAAAAATTGAAATAGTTCCAACAGCTGCATAATACTGAAATGAGAAAAATTTTGAAACATGCGTGTACACGTTAGCTGTCTTTAAAGAAATGCTTTAAAGAATGCAAAAGTAGTGGAAGAACTTTCAGAAGAAGACAAAAATAAGTTTTATCTTTATGTTAGAAGTTACTTCTGTCGAGTATGCGATTACATACTACATAAATTTCCAGTCAACGATGAAGTGATTTTGCGTGCTAAAGTTGCTGATGTTTCTGCACTAGCAAATGCATCTTTTTATCATATAAGGTACTTTTTAGACAGATTTCCTGTGTTACTTCATTTAGTCATTAAAGATGATGATATTGATGTTGCCACTGATAAATATTGCAGTTGCAATTTTGCAGTTTACAATTAGAAAACTTTGATGAAGTTATAAAATCAGCTAGGATTGTGGAAGGAAAACTGAAAGGTGCTGCTGATGGAATTTTAAAATATAGTGAACTGTCTAGAATTATGTTGGCCATCTTGACAGTTCCCCATAGTAATGCAGATTGTGAGAGGATTTTCAGTGTTGTTGCGAAAACGAGGACTAAATTTAGATCTAGTATTAGTGATGACACATTAGAAAAACATTTATTAGCGAAAGCAGGCCTACGTGGCAATTGCTATGAACAAAATTATGAAGTTTCTTAATGAAAGCAAAATCTGCCACTGTTCATAACATTTGTACGAAAACTGATTAAAGTGTTTTTTTTTTTCTTTCTTTCTTAAACGATGCAAGTAATAAAAATATTTTTTATGTGTAAGGTATTTTTGTGTTGCTTGCATTTAAGAATTAGTAACTATTTAAAGTTAATTCATTATTAAAAACTATATTTTTATCATTTAAAAAGTCTTTTCAACATTGTGAAAAATCTCCTGATTTCTTAAAAAAATCTCCTGATTTTCAGTGTCCCAGGTTGGCAAGTATGCTATTCGATTACTAATAAAATAAAATAATTTAGGCATCGCTGCATTAGTCATTACTCAAGTTATCATGTGTTGATAAACGTGCGGTGATGAAAGCAACACATAATCAGTTGGCGTAGGTGATATAAAATGTTAGTAGTATAAAAGAAACTATGTTTCTATGTAGAAGGTTTCGGTTTGAGATATATATACCAAGCAGACACAAAA